TCTTACCACCCTTTCAGAGCTCTCTCTGGCCTTCAGGAGAAGAAAGAACTCCTATGCATTGCATGAAAGGTAAAATATAACTTGTCTGGATCTGGGGATAACATCCATTTTGCCTCATTTTTCAGCAATGCTTACAGTTCTCAACATGTGAGGCCAAACTGCAATGTCTGTATGCAACACTACCTGCAGCAAAGACCCACTCCCATTCCTGGGGCTCACAGTTCAGTATTCCTCCCCCTTTGTCCACCCACTCTCCATGTTAGCCCACAAAGTTTTTGAGATCCTTTCACTAACAGTAATTTATTGTCACTGCCCGCTGCTCGTAAACAAGAATTCCCCAGGCAACACAATCTAAGGATCTTCCTTTCATTACAGGAGACTGTCAGGTCTAAATCCACCATATTTCTAATTTTACTGGTCCATTTCTAATCTCATTGGTCATAATTATCCTGTAGTGTGCTGGAGCTCACACCGATTCACAAGAGCCAACTGTGTACACATCTCCCAATTCAGCTTTCAGTGACTTCACATTAGCCTGAAATTGGTCAGGGTAGCATTTACACCACAGAAATTGACAAACTCTACAACTCAGAGTTTGTTCTTTGTTCTTTTTTTTTTGGTGGGTGGGTGGGGTGAAGGAAAAAAAGCCAGTTGTTAAAACATTTATCACACTAGAACTGTTATTCCCGTAATGATTTGTATTTCCTCTCCTGTTAGACCCAGCCAACTTTTCTTTCTCCCACAGTCTCCACTGAATTATTTGGAGCTTCTACTCCATGACCAAAAAGTCTGTATTCTGTCATTTCATATATTGTTCCCTATATTCCTGAAAGACAGGTTACATAATTTTCAGAGTCCGATGTAAAATGTAGTGCTACTTGTTCAAAAATTAAGAATTGCAAAACAGCAACAACAGAGCATTAAACCAAGAGTGGAACCTTTCTAAGTGCAACACTTTGCGTAACTAGGCAGATCACATGCCCATGAAGCTGGCCCAGACCACCTATCCATACTTCAGGCTTGAAGATGGGTTGCTATTCTCTTCATTACACCTCCCCAGTGCTCCTTCCAAACCATTACTCTTGTATCTTCTTAAAAAAAAAAACCTCTTCTCCTTTGTCATCTTGCTGTACTAACTTACTAATCACTCTTCTTACTTTGCTAATAGCTTTGATATCTGGCTCTCAAAATCCCTCTTCAACCCAAGTCCTGCCTGAATAATAAGAGGGTTAAGAGAACAGAATCCGGACTATGTAGTTCGGGCCCATCAGACCACATGGCTTCAAATCTTAGTTCCACCATATACTAGTTGTGTTACTTTGTATATGTTCCTTAACTTTTCTGGTCCCAAGTTCTAAGATTTACAGAACAAGTATACTAATAGTACTTTACAGGACTTGCTGTAAGGATTAAGAGAGTTAATACATGTAAAGGATTCAGAATAGTACCTGGCACATAATAAATGCTCAGTAAACATTAGCTACTGTTGCTATGACCATCATCATAGACTATCTCAATGTCCATACATTGTTGTTGTTGTAAGGTGCTGTCAAGTCAGCTCCAACTCACAGCGACCCTGTGTATGCCCGAATGAAACACTGCCCAGTCCTGGCCATTCTCACAACTGTTGCTATGTTTGAGCCCACTGTTGTAGCCACTGCATCAAACCATCTCACTGAGGATCTTCTTCTTTTTCACCGACGCTGTACTTTACCAAGTACGGTGTCTTTCTCTAGGGACTGGTCCTTCCTGATAACATCTCCAAAGTACAAGAGACTAACTCTCATCATCCTTACTTCAAGGACCATTCTGTCTGTACTTCTTGTAAGACAGACAATTTCAAGACACTGTCCGTATAGATAACTCATTTAACATGTTCTTTGAGCTCAGAGTTCTTTGAGCTCATCGCCAATAATAAATTTCTTCTCTACCCTATTTCAGTAATCCTTTTCCATAACTGCACCCTAAACATGTCACCACCAGAACTGCTCCTCCTCCAAAATCTTAAATTCAAATACCCTATACTCTGACCACTATCTCCTGTCCTTTCCAGGACCCACATTAATTCTTCTACTCACTTCCATCATGTTGTTGTTGTTGTTATGTGCCGCTGAGTCGGACCTGACTCATAGCGACCCCTCCTTGGGTTTCTGAGGCAGTATCACTACAGAAGTAGATTGCCCAGTTTTCCTTCTGAGGAGTGGCTGTTGGGTTTGAACCGCCAGCCTTCTGGTTAGCAGTCAAGGGCCTTAGGCACTATGCTACCAGAGCTCCCCACTGGAACACCTAAATTGCTGAATTTCTATATCTTATCTCAGTGAGCCCCCTCCTATCTTTACCTCTTTCTCTGTCATCTTATATTTTCTCTTTCATCCACTCTCTTGCCAACAGCCTCAATTCCCTTGTCCCAATTTCCTTCTATACAAACTACTCGGCAAAGTTCCAATCTTGGATAAATCAAACTATCAGCATTTTTTTACAGGGTTGCTGAGAGTTACTGAAAAGAACCACACAACTCTAAAGATCAGCACCACTGTTATCAATTCATGGTCTCCATTTTCAGTGTTACTCAGCAATCCTTCTATTTCCTTATCCTTACCTCATTTGCCATCTCTATCCTTTATGCCGAGAGCTACAGTGGCGTAGTGCCTAAGGCATGTGACTCCTAACCAGAAGACTGGTGCTTCAAACCCACCAGCCACTCCTTGGAAGGAAGACTGGGCAATCTACTTCTGTAGTGATACCACCTCGGAAACTCAAGGAGGGGTTGCTATGAGTCGGATCCGACTTGAGTTTTGGGTTTTTTTTATCCTTTATGATGGCTATTTCAGACCTTTCCCACTCTCCCCAAACCTCCCTACCCACCCCCACTTCTGCTTCTACTGTCAACAGATGATCTATCCTCCTACTTCAGAGAAAAGAGTGATAAGATTAGGATTACCAGAATTTCCTTCTACTGGATCTATAAAACCACTTTAGCTGCATCTGTATCTACCCACCCCTTCCTGCCTATCACAGTGAAAGAGATGTCTTTCCTCCTACCTAAGGCTTACTTGTGCTCTGTGCTATGGACTCTAACCCCTACTCTATAAAACAGAGGTTCTCAAACTGTGGTTCCCAACCAGCAGCATCAGCATTATCCAGGTACTTGTTAAAAATGTAAATTCAATGTAAAAGGGAATATACCCATGACTATGTATGTTTGGGGGAGCTCTGGTGGCACACTGCCTAAGGCATTTGACCACTAACCAGAAGGCTGGCAGTTCAAAAGCCACCAGCCACTCCTTGGAAGGAAGACTGGGCAATCTACTCCCATAGTGATACTGCCTTGGAAACCCAAGAAAGGGTCATTATGAGTTGCAATCGACTTGAACAGCAGTGAGTTAGGCTTTTTTTGATGTATGTTTGGCAGTTGGTATTTCTACATATGTATTTGTACATGGTATAAGAACATCCATATATATAATAGAGCTAACAGGCAAAGTTATGATAACTTCTTACACATAGCTAAATACTTTGAGGGAGTAAGTTGCTGAGCAGAGCCCATGAGCTCTGAACCATGGTTGCTGGGGACATCAAGCTCAATTGGCATAATATAGTATACAAAAACGTTATTTTATATCCTACTTTCGTAAGTAGTGACTAGGGTCTTTTTTTAAATTTTTATTGTGATTTGGGTGAAAATTTACAGAGTAAATTCATTTTCCATATAGCAACTCGTACACACCTTGGGAACCCAAGGAGGGGTTGCTATGAGTCGGATCCAACTCGACGGCACATAACAACAACACATACATATTACCTGCATGCTCAAGTGGATCACTTTCTCTTTTGTGTCCCTACTGTAGCGTGAACATAAACCTATTAATGCAATAATAATACACTATTATAAATACCTATTTTCATGTCTGAGTCCTCTCTAGACAGTAAACTCCCTGAGGGCATGAACCATGTCTTGTTTACTTTTGTATCTCTAGTCTTTATAGACCTGACATTGATAACAGGTTTCCATAAATGTTTATAGGCATATTAAACCCTATTACAGTAACTCCAATATTGCACTGACAGGTGTTTTCCTTAAAATTAAATCTGGACTCCAATTCTAGTTATGCTATTCATTAGTGGCACGCAGGCTAATTGTTTAACTTCTTTGAGCCTCAGTTTCCTCATTAGCAAACCAGGGCTAATAAAATATGTACTTGTAAATAATGTTATGAAAAATTAAACAAAATTATATAGTACAATGATTAGCACACACAGTGCCTGGCATGTAGTAGCCTCCTCACTCTGGCTTCAACTAGATAGAAACAACTAGGACAAAACAAATACAAAATAAGTCACAGCAACCAAAGGAGACTGAGCATGGAATGAGTCATTCCTTTTAATCATTTACCCAAGAAGATAAACAATGAAGAAGCATAATAAGCAGAATAAACTCCACTGGTGGTAGCTCCCTGGGCATACCCAGCTTGGTGAGAATTTACCCCAGAGACCTCTTGAATAATAGCCACATCTGGCTCCCTAGCCCAGCAGGTCACGTCTTAATCTGCAGTACCAGCCATGGTTAATTCAGAGTGGAATAGAACTACCTTACAAGGAATGTGTTTACAGGCGGGTGATGGGGGAGGAGGAGGAGAATTTGACTGCAACCACATCAATCAAGTGTTTTGCAATCTGGCAGAAAACACTGCAGAACCAATGGTAGAGACTAACACCCACACAACTACACTTACCTGTAGCCAAGAACCAGCTCAGACTAGATAATGAGCAGCTTTCTGCCATTACCAAAATGATAGTCAGACTTAGATAGAGTGAACATCTCTAAGGTCAAATTATCCTCGCACCTCTAGGCAGCACCAGCTAACACGACACCAAGCTGCTTTATACATACACTCTTCAGCCTATAAGCACTGCCCATAAACATCAGCTTCACTGCTTTGAATGCCAAATGCTGGAGCAGATTTAACAATTCTTCTGTTCCTTCTTCATAATATGCTTACCTCTGCAGAGTCACTGGTAGTCAGATCACCTAGTTCCTTGGAGTCATCCTTTATAAAATGCGTGACTACAGGTGTAACTACTTCTTCACGGGGACTAGCTCTCTTCTGAAGTTTCCTGATTATGCTGTGCTGGTCACTGGAAGATACAGCAGGTATGAGTGGCGCTCTGGGTGGGCTCTGCCTCTTCCAAGATGCCCTGCTCCAACCTAGCCCCAGAAGATGTAGTACATCATCTTCAGGTGGAAAGCCCAAATCATGTGCAGTTTGGAATTTTTTTAAAAACACCAGCACGGAATTGGAAGAGTCTGTCCTAAAAGCCCGGCAGCTCTGGGGCCTGCTGCAGTCTGCCTGAATGCACATCCCTTCTAGCCACCAAAAGGCATGGCAGGCAGAGTCCTGACAGCAGGCAGCCCAACATGACTGGAGAGAGGGGGTTCCTTCAAGAAGCCGGAGGTGATTTTCTCCCCCAGATCTCAGGCCAACTCCAAACTGTGTCTTCCCCTGCTGGCACCTGCTCTCACTGGCATCTAAAAACAAAGAATGAAAACATTTTAAGATGAAATAAAAACAGAGACTACTGTTCCGTAAGGAGCCCTGAACACTAACATTTGAGGCTATTTTGAAGACTGGTTTTTAAGAGGGTGGGAAAGCTGTCTAGTGAGTGGAACAGAGGAAGCAAAAAAAGAGTATCTTTTGGCTTAGGATATTTTAGCTTGTATAAGCACTGCTCCACATTTGCTGTTGTTCTCTTCTCAATGGGTTCCCTCCACACAAATCTTTACACAGAACCCAGTTCATGAAAGAGATTAAAGAGGACCTATTCTAACTGAAGCATATGGGAGAGTCAGAGGAAGCATCTCCCACTCATGTCCACAGCATTCCTCAGGGACGGTGTGAGGACTATGGGACCAGTGGACGAGATAGCTGAACAAGCTAGAATATTTATTTCTCCCACTGAGCTGGCAGCAACATTAAGCAGAGTACTCTTGACCTTGTGCAAATTACAGGTACATTCATCTTCTAACCAAATGTTTGCCAAAGTCAGATACTTTTGCACATCACAGCATCAGCCAGAATAGCAGTCAGACCAAAAATGTTAAATGTGAGAGGGACTCTGCTTGAAGGAACTTCCTAATGACAAGCCATTTCATGATAAGAAATAAAGGAACATACAGGCAAGTGAGTTAAACATTTACCTCAAGTAGACACACACCCTGGAGAGAACAATCATGGGAGAAGGAAGGGCTGCTTATGCACAGGGAGACAGCTCAGGGCGCAGAAGAGTATGGAGGGATGGACACTGGGAAGAGGTAAATATGGGGAGGAAGTGGGAGGGGAGCTGTTGCATTGTAAATTTTGGTCAATGACATGAGACAAAGTATATGCGAACTGCTGTATGAAAAGTGAATTTACTCTGCAAATTTTCACCCAAATCAAAATAAAATTAAAAAAGAAATAAAGGAACAGAAGTACAACAGGCCTACTGTTGTTAACCTAGATAACATAGTCTAAAAATCTGGCTAATGCAGCTTATGGATAAACTTTAGGCTGTTGAATTACCTCAGGCATGGTATTGATTTTCTTGAAATATTCCTTCACCTTTGTTTGCTCAGATAAAGTCACAGCACGTTCTAAATGAAAGTTGTTATACAAAGTTCATTTGAAGGCATAATCGGTGTATGTCACAAGCTGTGATCAGTTATCCAGGGCCAGAACTGGGGTAATGCCAGAAAGGCACCTCAGGAACAAAATTTAAGGCAAAAGTGCAGGGTTAAGCAGAGGGCATGAACAGATATTTCACTAAGAAAGACATTCAGGCAGCCAACAAACACATGGCAAAATGCTCACGATCCTTAGCCACTGTTGTTGTTGTTAGGTGCAGTTGAGTCAGTTCTGACTCAGAGTGAACCTACATACAAGAGAACAAAACCCTGCCTGGTCCTGCACCATCCTCACAATCATTGCCATGCTTGAGCCCACTGCTGCAGCCACTGTGTCAATACATCTCATTGAGGGTCTTCCCCTTTTTCTCCATTAGCCATTAGAGAAATGCAAATCAAAACAGCAATGAGATATCATCTCACCCCAGCATTAGTAGCAAAGGTCAAAAAAACAGAAAACAACAAATGTTGCTGAGGGTATGGAGAGACAAGAATACTCATACACTGCTGCTAGGATTGTAAAGTAGTACAACCATTTTGGAAAGTAGTATGGTACTTCCTTAATAAGTTGGAAACAGAAATGCCAACCCAGCAAGCCCACTACTAGGAATATATCCCAAAGAGTTGAGATTCAGGACATGAATAGATATATGCACACCCATGTTCAACATTATTCACAATAGCAAAGAGATGGAAACATAGTCCCCTGATCCCATCATGGGAACAACCACATCACAACAGCTCAAACCACACAGAATTGTGGTCCAGCCAAGTTGACACACAGCTCCAATTATCACAGTCCACCCCTTGTCAACTTGACAGTTGTACACATCTTCTTAATCATATATAATCTCTAAATAAGGACAATTATAAAGTCATATTTGTGCCTAACATGATACATTAACATACATACAACGAAAATGCATTAACCTTATTTACATTTCACAGTTCATAACAGAAGGAAACAAAAATATTTGATGCACATATACATTGAAGAAATATAACAATCACAGTCCTCATTTCTGCAGCTGGTCACGTGGTCATAGCTGATATTCATAACTACATTCTTCCACCACCCATTCTATATTTCCCTTGCCCTCAGCAAGCACCTCAGCTGGTCGTGGTTCTTTGCTGGGTGGGGTGACCCAAACCTTTGTTCCTGAAGGGTCTGGGCCGTTAGCAGTCATATCAGAATTGGGTTGCTGTAATTTTCCATTGACTTTAATCACAGGGCATGGTAGTACTAAGAGATGTCCTAAAGAATCTCCTGTATTCCAGACATATTCTTCTTTACCTCCATTATGTAAAGCCAACCCAATTTCCCCTTGGTAATCAGGATCTATCACACTAGATAATACAGTAATGTCCTTCTTTGTCTGTTGATCCAGAGGCATGAGGAAGCCAAAATGGCTGGGTGGCATTCTTAATTTCCAGTTCAATGCAATCAGTATTGTGTCTCCAGGTGGGAGTGTTCCTCCCTTTGGGACTAAGATCTCCAAACCTGCAGAGCATAGGGAAGCAGGGACAGGAAGCAAAACTCTTTTGAGTGAGTCACTAGGGGTAATAGTGAGTGGTACCACTCCTGTTTCCACCCCTTGGTTCCTGGACCCGTGAATCCTGGCTATTGGAGAAACAGAACCATATATTGGACGCTGGTTCAGAGCATATACAGCCTCCTGGAGAACATTGCCCCAACCTTTCAAGGTATTGTCACCTAGCTGACGCCGTATTTGTGTTTTTAAGAGGCCATTCCATCGTTCTATCAAACCAGCTGCTTCAGGATGGTGGGGAGCATGGTAAGACCAGTGAATTCCATGAGCATAAGCCCACTGCCGCACTTCATGTGCTGTGAAATGAGTCCCTTGATCCAAAGCAATGCTGTGTGGGACACCATGACAGTGGATAAGGCATTCTATAAGTCCACGGATGGTAGTTTTGGCAGAAGCATCGCGTGCAGGGAAGGCGAATCCATATCCAGAGTAAGTATCTATTCCAGTAAGAACAAAATGCTGTCCTTTCCATGATGGAAGTGGTCCAATGTAATCAACCTGCCACGATGTTGCTAGCTGATCACCCCAAGGAATGGTTCCATATCGCAAACTCAGTGTTGGTCTCCGCTGTTGGCAGATTGGGCACTCAGCAGTGGCGGTAGCCAAATCAGCTTTGGTTAGTGGGGAGTCCATGTTGCTGAGCCCATGCATAACCTCCATCCCTGCCACCATGGCCACTTTGTTCATGAGTCCATTGAGCAATGACAGGAGTAGCTGGGGGAAAAGGACGGCTGGTTTCCACTGAACGTGTCATCCTATTCACCTTATTGTTAAAATCCTCCTCTGCCGAGGTCACCTTTTGGTGGGCATTCACATGAGACACAAATACCTTTACTCCTTTGGCCCATTCAGAGAGATCTATCCACATACCTCTTCCCCATACATCCTTATCACCAATCTTCCAATCATGCTCCTTCCAAGTCTCAGACCATCCAGCTAAGCCATTAGCCACAGCCCATGAATACGTATATAATCGCACATCTGGCCATTTCTTGTTCCATGCAAAGTGAACAGCCATATGCATGGCTCGAAGTTCTGCCCATTTGGGAGGATTTCCCTTCACCACTGTCCTTTAAGGAAGTCCCAGAAAAGGACTGCAGGGCCGCTGCTGTCCACTTTCGAGTGGTGCCTGCATATCACGCAGAACCATCTCTAAACCAGGCATGAGTTTTCTCTTCCTCAGTCAACTGATCATAAGGAACTCCCCATGAGGCCATAGGTGCAGAGTGAAACAGTGAAGGTAATGTGACTGGAGTGGAGACCACTGGCATTTGGGCCACTTCCTCATGCAACTTACTTGTGCCTTCAGGTCCTGCTCAAGCCCGATCTCTGATACACCACTTCCATTTAATGATGGAGTGCTGCTGTGCACATCAAACTTTATGACTCTGTGGGTCAGACAACACCCAGTTCATGATGGGCAGCTCAGACCTCATGGTGACTTGGTGGCCCATGGTTAGGTATTCAGTCTCTACTAAAGGCCAGTAACAAGCCAAAAGCTGTTTCTCAAAAGGAGAGTAGTTATCTGCAGAGGATGGCAGGGCTTTGCTCCAAGACCCTGCGGGGGTCTGCATTGCGATTCACCAATAGGGACCTGCCACAGGCTCCAAACAGCATCTCTGTCTACTACAGACACTTCAAGTACCATTGCATCAGCCGGATCATATGGCCCAAGTGGCAGAGCAGCCTGCACGGCAGCCTGAACCTGTTGCAGAGCCTTCTGTTACTCTGTGCCCCACTCAAAACTAGCAGCTTTCCAAGTCACTTGATAAATAGGCCGCAGCAACACACCCAAATGAGGGATATGTTGCCTCCAAACTCCAAAGAGGCCCACCAGACGTTGTGCCTCCTTTTTAGTTGTGGGGGAAACTAGATACAATAACTTATCCTTCACTTTAGTAGGAATATCTCGACATGCCCCACACCATTGGACCCCTAGAAATTTCACTGAGGTGGAAGGTGCCTAAATTTTTGTTGGGTTAATTTCCCAACCTCTAGTACGCATATGTATCACCAATAAGTCTAGAGTCATCGATACTTCTTCTTTACTAGGTCCAATCAGCATAATGTCATCAATATAATGGACCAGTGTGATGTCTTGTGGAAGCGAAAGGCGATCAAGATCCCTATGGACTAAATTATGACATAGTGCCAGGGAACTGATATACCCCTGAGGAAGGACTGTGAAAGTATACTGTTGGCCTTGCCAGCTGAAGGCAAACTGCTTCTGATGATCTTTTGAAATTGGTATCGAGCAAAAGGCACTGGCCAGATCAACAGCTGCATACCAAGTACCAGGAGATGTACTAATTTGTT